ATAATATATTGTTTAGAAAAGTGCTGTCCAATAGAATGCTTTGTAGTGAAAACTGTGTTGTCCAGTATGGTAACAATTAACAGCATGTGGCCATTGAGCACTTAAAATATGACTAATGTAACAGAGGAACTGAATTTTAATTTAAACTCAAATTGTCACATGTGGCTACCACATTATATAGACAGAAACAGAATTAATGGAATAATAAATACAAGATCCAAAATATTGGTTATTTCTAAGAGAAAGAAAAGGGAATCAAATGTGTGAGGCTGTGACACACAGGGGGTTTCAAAAGTAATAATGGTCTTTTCTTTTTTAAAAAATTATTTTTAGTTGTAGATGGACACAATACCTTTCTTTTATTTATTCATTTTTATGTGGTGCTGAGAATTGAACCCAGTGCTTCACACATGCTAGGTAAGCGCTCTACCACTGAGCCACAGCCCCAGTCCCATAATGGTCTTTTTTAAAAATGGGTTTTCATATTTTGTTATTCTTTAAAATGTGGATTCTATACATGTTTTTTCATAAATATTAAATATTTCTTAAAACAAAAAATAGTGAATTTGAGGTGATGGATTCATGGATGTTGTATTGCTATTACTTAAACTCTACATAATAAAATATTTCTATTAAAATTTTTCTGGGCTGGGCTTGTGGCTCAGTGGTACAGCACCTGCCTAGCAAGTGCAAGGCCCTGGGTTCGATCCTCAGAACCACATAAAAATGAATAAAATAGTGTGTCCAAATACAGCTAAAAAATAAATATAAAAAAATTTTTTTTCTACCACTAATTCAGATATACCCCCAAGTGGAGTAGAAGACAACTAGGAAGGGGGGGAAAAAAAAAACCACTTTCACTTCAGACTCCGACAATCCTGCTGCTTAAGGACCTCCAACTAACTCCAGGCCCCAGGCATGGTACTAATGCCCTTATTCTCTATAATACTGGCTCCTAGGCTTTCACTTAGAAGAGAGGTAAGAAGACATTTTGTTTGAATGATCACCTAATTTTGTTTGGAAAATTTTAATAGATAGATTAGGTTTAAAGAAGAGAACAGGACATGTTGGTGCACACCTATAATCCCAGTAACTCAGGAGGCTGAGGCAGGAGGATCACAAAGTTTGAGGGTAGCCTCAGCAACTTAGTGAGGCTCTAAGTTACTTAATGAGACCCTGTCTCAAAATAAAAAAATAAATTAAAAAAAAAAAGAAGGGATGGGGATATAGCTCATTGGTAGAGTTTCCCTGGGTTCTATCCCCAGTCCCACACCCCCGACAAAACAGAAACAAAAACAAAAGCTGTGGGTAAATCTCAACCATAGAGCTGCATGCTTATTAGCACAGGCAAGACCCTGGGTTCCAAGCTAGCATCATGCCCTCCTGCCAAAAAAAGAGTATGTGTACAAAAAAGAGGTGTCTTCCTCTGAGAAACTGAATCCTGCTCCTGTTCTTTTTTTTTTTTAATTTATTTTTTATTGTAGTTGGTTGGACACAATACCTTTGTTTTGTTTATTTTTATGTGGTGCTGAGGATCGAACCCAAGGCCTCACACATGCTAGGCGAGCGCTCTACCACTGAGACACGCAACCTCAGTCCACTGCTCCTGTTCTTAAAAATAAAAAATGGAAAAAAAAATTCTTAAAAACAAACAGGAATAAAGGGTAAGGGGAATAAGACAATAGAAATTTTTTAAAATAATGTTTTAGGTAAAATTTTGCTCTAAAAGGAAAGCAGGAAACATAGAGGCAGTGGAAGATTTTTCAAACGTAGGAGAAACCACATGTATTATCTATTGCTGCATAACAAGTTATCCAAAAACTTAATGACTTAAAACAACAAAAATTGATATCTCAGTTTCTGTGGTTTAGGAAGCTGAGTGTAGCTTAGCTAGGCACCTCTGTCTTGAGGTCTCTCCTAAGGTTGCAGTTAGGGTGTCAGCCAGAACTGTGATTTTTTTTTTTTAATATTTATTTTTTAGTGGTAGTTGGACACAATACCTTTATTTTATTTATTTATTTTTACGTAGTGCTGAGGATTGAGCCTGGGGCCTCATACTTGCTAGGCAAGCACTCTACTGCTGAGCCACAACCCCAGTCCCAGAACTGTGGCCTTATGTGAAGGTCTGAGAAGAGGAAGAAAAACTTCTCAGCTCTCTGTTACCTGATTTGGTTCTACTTGGCCATTTGAGGACTTCAATGCCTCAGGGGCTATGGCTGGAGGCCTGGCTGGAGGGCAGCTCACTATGTGGCAGCCAATTTAACCAAAAGAACCAGAGGGAGAGGTATGCAAGACACAATCGGCTTAAAACTTAATCTTAGAAATGGTAGCCCACTACATGAATCCATTTTGTGTTGCTATAACAGAATATCTGACACTGGATACTTAACAACAAAGAAAAGAGGTTCATTTAGCTCACAGTTTGTGGGGCTAGAAATCCAAGCATGAGGGTCCCCTTTTGTTGCATCTGTGGTAAGGGCCTCTCTGCTAATACACAGGATGGCAGAGAAGTGGAAGGAAAAACAACTGCATGCAGAAGGACAAAGTACATGAGGTGGACTTGCTCTACAACAACACACTTTTATAAGAACTCACTCTGAAAGACTATCAACAATTCCTCCTGAGGGTCGTGTCCCCATGATCTAATTATCTTCCATTAGGCCCTACCTCTTAAACTCTTGGCTATGGGCTCAAGTGATCCTCCTGCCTCAAACTCCTGAAGCTGGGATTGCAGACATGTACCACCACTCCTGTCTTAGGCCCTACCTCTTAGAGATTCCACCACCTTAGCATAGTTATGCTGGGGACCAAGCTTGCAGCACATGAACCACTGGGGGTCACATACCAACCATATCTAAACCACTGCACCTATATCCTCAGCCACCTTTTACTTGCTAGAGGTGAATCACTAAATCCAGCCAACACTGAAGGGAAAGTGACCAAACATGGGTGTATCAGGAGTCAGAGAAGGCCCCCACCCTGTAAAGGAAGTCTATCATGCCAGAAGAGGTTTGTCTGCTGATAGAGATGATCCCACACAGAGAGGAAATGACAAGGCAGGAGAGATGAATGAAGACCCAGAAAGGGCAGAAGGAATCTAGGGAGAGGACCTTTGCAATGACTGGTACACTGTCTTTTTCAAGCCATTTCATGATTTGGCTGCACTCACCTGTTTTATGAATCTGTTGACACCCTATCATCTGTCATAGCAAAATTTATCATTTTCCCCTGCTTACAAAGCCATCTACAATCTGATCACATTCCACACACATAGAAACACGCACATACCCAACTCTGTTCCCGGCCCCTTTTAAGTGTTACCTTCCATTAAAACATTTGGAGATTAGGGAATTTGTTTTTTTGTTAGCCCCTAGGTGCCACCTGCAGCTTGTTTCTTCAACAGTACCTACTTTCTACCCACTGACTGTGGTTTGGCCCCAGGCCTCTGCTTACTTTCCTGTGTTACCTTCTGTGCCAACCTAATATACTCCTTTTATTCAACGTTGCCAACCATGTCAGCTTTAGAGGGATAAAATGAGCAAGGCAATTGACCTTTTATTGACCCCACTTTAATTCCCAACCACGTGACCAACTTTCCAGACTACCGAAGCCCACACATTATTCTCTCACTCCTGAAGGTATGGGGCAAATGAAGGCAAAGTTCAGCCTAACTCAAGATGGGAAATGATGAAACAAATTAGAACCAAACATTACACATCATTCTTAAAAACTCAGGGTCATGTTAAAGAAAAATATTCCATAATATTTATTAAAGCATGGTGAGGCAGCCTTTACTTGGGATCATAAAGACAGGGACAGCAAGGGCTGGAGATGTCACTCAGTGGTAGGATGCTTGCCTAGTATGCAGCAGTAAGGCCCTGGGTTCAAGCCCCATCATCCCCAGCATTCCCCTTCAATACAAAGGTATAAAGAACTAGGGCAATGGGGGGCTGGAGTTGTGGCTCAGTGGTAGAGCGCTTGCCTGGCTTTCATGAAGCCTTGGGTTCGATCTTCTGTGCTGCATATGAATAAGTAAATAAAATAAAAGATCCACTGACAACTGAAAAAAAATGAAAATAAAAGAACTAGGACAATGGATTTTGAAGTAGGGAGAGATTAGGCTCAAATCCAAATACAACATGGGTAAGTGGGAATTTATAGCCAAAGAACAGGGCCAATGGATGGAAAATCCACTAAGAGATAACATCAAGAGTAACAGGGATTCAGATTAAATCCACTGAACAAGGTGCTTGGTGAAAACAGGCCAAGATGAGGAGAGTATCTGGAGGATGGTGTGTGGCATACAGCATGTGGGTAATGCCTACTTACTCAATGGACTGATTAACCAGGGCCACTTATCTGTGTCCCCTGCTCCCATACAATGTTTGGAAAGTCAATCTCAGGGTTTCTTAGAGAGGCAAGGAATGATGGATCTCTCAGGCTAGAGACTGAACAGGGCATGAGTGCTTGTGTTTGTTAGGGGAGGTGCAATTACCCCCAGTCGGGTTTGTGCTCAATTTTGCAATCCTTAAATCTAGTTTTATTTGCTCAGCCTGAGTTGTGTGCTCAAGGTAAACTACTTTAAAGCTGGAAGAGATCAATCTGCTTCACAGATGCTGGGTTTCCCTAATGGCCTTTTCATCTCCAATCCCAACCTCTGTGCCCACCTTGCCTCGGTTGTACCTCTGCCTTCCCCAAATATGGCCCTTGCTTTGGAAAGCCTCCGGGCCCTCCAAGTCTGAGCAGGCAGCGCCCGGGGGTTCCAGGACCTTCCCGCCACCGCAGCCGCCCTACCGTGGGTAGCAGTGTGCTGCTAGGGCCCGGGAGGGGCTTGCCAATGAAAACAAACCCGCAGAACCCAGCGGAAGCAGGCACTGACCTACCCTTGTCCGAGAAGGGGAGGCCAACTGAAATCCGCATCCGGGCACCTCGGCGCCCGCGGCCTCCCTGGAGGCTGTGGGAGCGCGGGCCTCGACGCCATCTTGCCCGCGAGTGCCAAGATGGGGCAGGCGCTGCTGGGTGCTGCGCTGCTGTTTGTGGGGGGCGCTCTCCTTTCCTCCGAGCACCCCTCGCTCCCCGGGAGGAACGGGCTCGGCCCCTCGCAGGGACAGGCCGCTGGTCCTGGGTGGGCCAGGGTGGCGCGCTGGCAGCAGTTGGACGAGGCCCAGAAGGAAGAGCCGGCAGCAAAGGGCAGTATCCCTTCATTCCTGGCAGCCCCTGCCTTTCCCCGCGGCCCGCCTGTGAACTGGGCTCCTGCCCGTGGACCCAGCCTCCTTAACCCAAACCCGACACACCTAAGCGGCTTCTAGACGCAGAATGATGTCGGTAGGAGTGATAGGAACAGGGACATACCTTTGTGCTGGGCCTCTGTATTTGTTCCTCAAAACGTTCTGGGGCCGATCATTCTGAGTTTACAGATGGCTGATTCACTAGTGTTCGGAGTTGAAGGGGACCTTTATATAATACAGCTGAGAGCAATCAGCTTAGCATGTTAAGTGGCAAGAATCAGAACTTGAAGCGAACTTGTACCTCTGGACTCGCCAGTCCCAGGGTTTTTCTTTTTTTTTCCTTTTTGGTGCCAAGGGTTGAACTTAGGGCCTGGGACATGCTAACTACACACCACCACTGAGCTACACCCCAGCCTCCAAGTTTCAGGCTCTTTTATCACTTGAGTTTTTGGGGGTTTTTTGTACTAGGGATTAAACTCAGGTCATTTTATTATCCCTGAGCTTCATCCCCAATTCTCTCACTAGCTAGCCTGGAACTTGCAATCTGTCTTGGCCCCTGGAGTCACCATGATCCAGGCCTGCACCATAGGACCTGGCTAAATCTCAGGCTCTTAATCTCCATCTCATACAGGCAATAATGTGATGCCTGGCTAGAGGATATTCTTGTTTTTATACTTTTTTGGGAAAGAGCTTTAACTTAATGAATTATACTGATTTCATGTCTGTGTAAAAATGATCAATTATGACATGTTTATCTTAACTCTCCTTTAGGACTCAAAATTTGGGCTTGCCTTAGGTATCCAGTTTTTAAAATAGGAATTTAAAGGTTTACATTAATGTGGTCAGATGAGTAAGTAACACACAAATATAAATGTAGATGCCCAGTCCAAATAATATATCATTTTTATTTTTAGATTGTGGAACAGCACCGCTTAGGGATATGTTGCAAGGGTCTCGGATTGTAGGGGGCTCAGATGCTCAAGATGGTGCATGGCCATGGATAGTTAGTCTACAGATTCGATATGGCCGTTTTCTTGCTCATATATGTGCAGGAAGCCTAGTGAAAGACAGGTGGGTTCTCACAGCTGCCCACTGCACTAGAGACGCTAGGTATGTATTCAGAATATAATTCTCATTTTACTCTCTTATGGGATATTTTCAAGTGGTAGAGGGTCATTTGACTTCAGCTGTTTTCATTTAAGCCACATGTTTGCAAGGTTTGTAATCATGCCTTATACAGAAAGCACTGTATTTGTTGAAATGAATCATTTATATGTCAGAGGTTGGCAAACCTCTGTAAAAATAGTGAATACTTTAGAGTTTGCAGTTTGTCGTCTCTGTCACAATTACTTAGCATGAAAGTAGCCATAGAAAAAATACATAACTGAATGAATGTAGCTGTGATCCAATGAAACTTTTTTTTTTTTTTAAATGGTGCTGGGGATTGAACCCAGGACCTTGTGCATGTTAGGCAAGCACTCTACCAACTGAGCTATATCCCCAGCCCCCAGTAAAACTTTACATATGAACACTAAAGTTTAAAATTCATATATTTTTCTCAGTTCCAAAAAATTTTTTTTAACTGTTTAAATGTGAAAAACATGCTTTGGAGGCTGGGGTTGTGGCTCAGCAGTACAGCAAGTACACCCTCCCACTCCATTCCCTTCTCTACTGATCATTCTGCTATTTACTTATAGTTGTTTTTTTTTTAATTAGTGTCTTGTGGCTGTACATGATGGTGAGGTTCACTGTGGTATATTCATATATGTACATAAGAAAGTTAAATCAGATTCATCCCACTATCTTTCCCTATCCCATCCTTCCTCCCTTCCCTTCATTCCCTTTCGTCTACTCCACTGCTCTTTCTTCTATTTTTTATATTCCCTCCCCCATTTTGGATTAGCTTCCACATATCAGAGAAAACATTCAACCTTTCACTTTTTTATACTGACCAATTTCACTTAGCATGATAGTCTCCAATTCCATCCACTTACTGGCAAATGCCATAAAGTCATTCTTTATAGTTGAGTAATACTCTATTGTGTGTGTGTATGTATGTGTGTGTGTATATATATATATATCACATTTTCTTTATCCATTTATCTGCTGAAGGGCACTTAGGTTGGCTCAATAGCTTGGCTAATGAACTGTGCTGCTATAAAGTCTGTGTCACTGTAGTGTGCTGATTGTAAATCTTTGGATATATACTGAGGAGTGGGATAGCTGGATTATATGGTGGTTCCATTTCTAGTTTTTCAAGGAACCTCCACACTGTTTTCCAGAGGATTTCACTAATTTACAGTCCCACCAACAATGTATGAGTGTACCTTTTCCTCCACATCCTCACCAAACACACACATTTATTGTTACTTGTAGTCTTGATAACTGCCATTCTGACTGAGTGAGATAAAATCTCAATGTAGTTTTAATTTGCATTTCTTTAATTACTAGAGTTGAACATTTTTTTCATATATTTATTGACCACTTATATTTCTTCTTTTGAGTGGTGTCTGTTTAGTTCCTTTGTCCAATTATTGATGGGGTTATTTGGGGTTTTTTTTGTTTGTTTGTTTTGGCATTAAGTTTGAGTTCTTTGTATCCTGGATATTAATGCCCTATCTGAGGAGCAGGTGGCAAAGATTTTTTTCCATTTTGTAGACTTTCTCATCATGTTATTGTTTCCTTTGCTGAGAAGAAGTTTTTAGTTTGAATTCATACCATTTATTGATTCTTGATTTTACTTCTTATGCTTTAGGAGTCTTGTTAAGGAAGTCTGTTCCTGAGCTGCCATGTTGGAGGGTTGGGTAAACATTTTCTTTTAGCAGTTGCAGAATTTCTGTTCTAATTCTTAGGTCTTTGATCCACTTTGAGTTGAGTTTTATGCAGGGTGAGAGATAGGAGTTAAGTTTCATACGTGGATTTCCAGTTTTCCCAGCATCATTTGTTTAAAAGGCTATCTTTTCTCCTACATGTTTTTGGCATCTTTCTCTAGTATCAGAGAACTGCATTTATGTGGGGTTGTCTGTGTGTCTTCTATTCTATTCCATTGGTCTTCATGTCTGTTTTGGTGTCAGTACCATGCTGTTCTTGTTACTATAGTTCTGTAGTATAATTTGAAGTCTGGTATTGTGATGCCCCCTGCTTTGTGTTTCTTGCTAAGGATTGCTTTGGCTATTCTGGATCTCTTATTTTTCCAAATGAATCTTGTAACTGCTTTTTCTAGGTCTGTGAAGAATGTCATTGGAATTTTGATGGGAATCCACTGAATATGAATAGCACTTTTGGTAGAATGGCCATTTTTACAGTATTAATTCGGAACATAGGTCTTTCCATCCTCTAAGCTGGACTTCAATTTTTTTCTTTAGTATTCTATAGTTTTCATTTCACCACTTTTGTTAGATTGATTCCCAAGTGAGTTTTTTTTTTTTTTTTTTTTTGAGGCTATTGTGAATAGTTTGCCTAATTGGTGTTTAGGAATGTGATTGATTTATGTGTGTTCATCTTTTATGCTACGGCTTTGCAGAATTTATTTATCAATTTTAGAAATCTTCTGATGGAGTTTTTTGGGTATTCTAAATATAAGGTAATGTCACCAGCAAAAAGATAATTTGAACTCTTCCTATTTGTATCCCTTTAATTTCTTTCTCTTGCTTGATTGCTCTGGCTAGAGTTTTAAGGGCTACATTGAATAGGATTGATAAAAGTGGGTATCCTTGTCTTGTTCATGTTTTTGGAGAAAATCTTTTCAGTTTTTCTCCATTCAGAATAATGTCGGCCTTGGGTTTGTCACATATAGCCCTTATAATGTTAAGGTAAGTTATTTCCATTGTAGTTTTTTTTTTAAAGTGTTTTAAACATGAATGGGAGCTATACTTTGTCAGTTGCTTTTTCTTTATCATGTGATTCTTGTCCTTAAGTCTATTTATGTGGTGAATTACATTTATTGGTTTTTAAAATTTATTTATTTATTTTTTAGGTGTAGATGGACACAACACAATGCCCTTTTATTTTTATGTGGTGCTGAGGATCAAACCCGGGTCCCGCCTGTGCTAGGCGAGTGCTCTACCGCTGAGCCACAATCCCAGCCCCTATTGATTTCTTTTTAAAAATTTTTTTAAATATTTTTTTTTAGTTGTATATGGACACAATACCTTTATTTAATTTATTTATTTGTGGTGCTGAGGATCAAACCCAGGGCCTCTCACATACTAGGTTAGCACTATACCACTGAGCCACAACCCCAGCCCCACATTTATTGATTTCTGTATGTTGAAACAACCTTGCATCCCAAGGGTGAAATCTACTTGATCATGGTACACACAATACAATAATATTGGATGACTGTAACATGCCTCTCTCATCACTGTATAGATCATCCAAACAAAAACTAAGATTTTATAGAACTAAAAAAATGCAATTAATAATAGATGTAACAGACATCTATAGAATATTTCCTCCATCAACAACTCAATTCATTTTCTTCTCAGCAGCACATGGAACATTTTTGAAAACAGGCCATATTATAGATCACAAAGCAAATCTCAGCAAATACGAAAAAACTGAGCCACATCCCTAGCCCTATTTTGTATTTTATTTAGTGACAGGGTCTCAGTGAGCTTAGCACCTCGCTTTTGCTGAGGCTGGCTTTGAACCCGTAATCCTCCTGTCTCAGCCTCCCTAGCCGCTGGGATAACAGGCGTGTGCCATTGTACCCTGCTAAGGGGGAAGGTTTTTTCTTTGTTTGTTTGTTTGTGGTGTTAGTGATCAAACTAAGTACCTTGCTGCATGGTAAGCAAGTGTTCTGCCACTGAGCTACATCCCCCAGTCCTTTTCATTTTTTATTTTAAGACAGGGTCTCACTAAATTGCCCAGGCTGGCCTCAAACTTGCAATCGTTCTGCCTTTGCCTCCTGGAGAGCTGGGATTACAGGCATGTGCCACCATGCCAAGCTACAGAAATGATTTTATTAAGATATAACTCAACATGCAGTAAAATAAATTCTTTTAGAATACAGTTCTGTGAATTTGACAAATGCATGGTCATATAATTACCAGCACAAAACACAGTTCTTTTTATTTCCCAAAAATCTCCTGTGTCCCTCCCCCTCTCTTTATAGTTTTGCTTTTTCCAGTGTCCTATAAACAGAATCACACTTAGTGTATGTAGCCTTTTGAATTTGGTCACTTTTACTTAGCATATAAATTTGAGAATTATCTGTTATTGTGTGTATTATTACTGTTCTTTTTTTTTGGATGGTGCTGAGGATTGGACCCAGGGCTCTACCCTTGCTAGGCAAGCACTCTACCACTGAGCTATGCTCCCAGCCCCATTACTGTTCCTTTTTATGGGAATAGTAATGGGTAGTAATCTATTTTATGGAGGTAGCACTGTTTATCAATATACCACTTGAAGGATATTTCCAATTTGGGCAATTAAGACTTAAGCTATGGAGCTGGGGCTATGGCTCAACAGTAGAGCACTCACCTAGCATGTGCAAGGCCCTGGGTTCGATCCTCAGCACCATGTAAAAATAAATAAAATAAAGGTATTGTGTCCAACTACAACTGAAAAATAAATATTAACAACAACAACAAAAAAAAAGAGCTAAGCTACTACAAATGTTTGCATATTGGTTTTTGTGAATATTGGTTTTTATTTCACTTGAATACCCAAGTGGGATTAACAGGTCAAATGATAAGTGTATGTACAACTTTATATTTAAAAATATGCAAGTAGTGGGCACAGTGGCACCTGCCTAAAATTCTAGCTACTTAGGAGGCTGAGGCAAGAGCATCGCAGTCTGGGCAACACAGAGAGATAGTGTCTCAAAATAAAAAATAAAAAGCTTGGGGATGGGGGATATAGCTCAGTTGTAGCTCAGTTGTCAGAGTGCTTGTCTTACATGCACAAGGCCCTGGGTTCAATACCCAGCACCACAAAGATAAATATATAAAAGATGTATGCTATCAGGCAGCTACAATAAAGACTTTAAAAAAAAGCTTGGGATGTAGATCAGTAGTGAAGTGCTGCCTAGCATGGTTTGAACCCAGGAACACTCAACCACTGAGCCACATCTCCAGCCACTTTTTATTTATTTTATTTAGAGACAGGGTCTTGCTGAGTTGCTTAGGCCCTTGCTAATTTGCTCAGGCTGTGAAGCCCTGGGTTTGGTCCCCAAAACCATAATAAAGAGGTAAAACATATTTAATATAAGAAAATGACAAAATAGAAAAGAAAAATGAGTCATTATATATCACAGAAATAACAGGTGTTTTTGTTACACATTTACTCTAAATTTTTCTATGCATGTACATAAACTATTTTATATATTAATATAGTTATTACTGTGAAATAGCCTTTTTCATTAAATTGTATAACATGAGAATCTTTATGACATGTCGATACACATCTGTTACTTCTACATTCCATGCTATAGATGTGCCAAAATTTACCTGAGCCACGTGTTGGGCATGTAGGCCTTTTCTGATATATTCTTATAGCTAAACTTTTGTGTTCATCTTCTGTTTCTTCGGGATAAACTTTAGGAGGTAGAACTGCAGAGTCAAAGGCAATCCAAATTTTACAGACTACTGACACACGTTGCCAGAGTGTCCACATATTTACACTTTCTGTGAGAGACAACAGGAGCCCAGTACCGCCTTCACCTATATTGCTATCATCAAACACACACATGCTTATATATAAACTTTGCTAACATGGAGGGTCCAAAATGTTTCAGTATTTGTAAACATAAGCATATAAAGTGAAAGTTTTTCCTTCCTAAGTGAATTCCAGATGTAACAACTGTTAAACTAATGGGGATTTAATTGTTGATCTTTTTGACCTTTTTTTGGCTTGATGGTTTTTTTTAGACTGTCAAGAAAATTATTTACTTCTTGTTTTTACCTTCAGTGAAGTGTTTTACAAAATCCTTTCTCATTTAATTTAAAATAATTCTTTCTAGTAAATCATAAAAGCAGAAGAAATATTTGGTGAATTTTGATATACCCATCACACAGCTTCAAATTATCAACTTATATCTGATCTTATTTTATTTATACTCTTACCAACTTCCTGCTCCAATGTGTGTGTATGTGTGGGTTATGCTGGGATCAAACCTAGGGCCTCATGCATAAGTGAGGGCTCTACTATTAAACTACACCCTTAGCCTACCCCTTCCAATTATTTTGAAGGAAATCTCAGGCCTATCACTTTGGATATATCTAAAAGATAGGAACTCTTTATTTAGAAGATTTACTCATAGAAATATGTAATCCATTTGCAGTTTATTTTGGTGCTTAGTGTTAGTCCAGAGATCTAATTTTATTCTCTTTTCAAACAATTAACTAGTTGTCCAGTACCATATTGAATAATTCATCCTTTGGTCCATTGGTTAGAAATCCTATCTTAATCATATATTAAAATCTCATATGCTTAAATCTATTTCTGAATTGTCTGTCCTATTGGTATTTTCCCTGTTTCCTACATCACATTTATTTTGTTTTTTGGCAGTACTGGAAATTGAACCCAGGGGTACTCTATCACCAAGCCACATCCTTACCCCCCTCTCCCCGCTTTTTATGCCAAGGTTTGAACCCAGGAACACTCAACCACTGAGCCACATCTCCAGCCACTTTTTATATTTTATTTAGAGACAGGGTCTTGCTGAGTTGCTTAGGGCCTTGCTAATTTGCTCAGGCTGGCTTTGAACTTGTGGTCCTCCTGTCTCAGCCTCCCAAGCTGCTAGGATTTCAAGCATATGCCACCACCTCTGGCCCCTAACCCTTTAAAAAAATTTTTTGAGACAGGGTCTCTGTTAGCTGCTGAGGCTGGCCTCAAACTTGCAATCCTCCTGTCTCAACTCCAGAGTCACTGGGATTACTGGCATGTGCCAGGGCACCCAGCAGGCTTTTAATTTATATTTCATGTCACATGAAAGTAGAATTAAAATTTTTTTATTAATCTAACATAAGAAAAAAAACTAGTGAAAGATTAATAATATTTACTAAATTAAATAAACATGCTTATAATAAGAATATTTACTTTCTTCCAGAGATCCTTTACAGTGGAGAGCTGTGATGGGAACCAATATAGTAAATATGAGTCAAGCATACACCAAGAGGATAAAAGTTAAAGCAATCAGTATTCATCCAGACTTCATTATGGAAACTTACGAAAATGATATTGCACTTTTTTATTTAAAAAAACCTGTGATGTTTAATGACTATATACAGCCTATTTGTCTACCTTTTGATGTTTTCCAAAACCTGGACGAAAACACAAAGTGTTTTATAAGTGGCTGGGGAAGAACAAAAGAAGAAGGTAATTATAGTCTGAATTTTACTGCTATAAATCTTTCTGATTACTGGTACAGGAGGGTCAATACTTTTATATATAAATATCCTTTTGTAAATTTCTTTTTAAAAGTTTTAATTTTTTTTTGCAGTACTGAGGATTGAATCCAGGACTTTGTGCATTCTTAGCAAGCACTCTACCACTTAGCTACATTCCCAACCACATTCTATGTATTTTTAAAAAATTTCTCTATATTACCTCTTTATTATGAGACTAAATAAATAATAGATCTTTATAAACCAGAGTAAAGGAACTATTTTTTTGTCCATATTTTCTTCCACATGGGAGGGAGAGAGAAAATTCTCTTCCAAAGCAGAAGAGACTTTCTTTGGTTACACATGCCAAGATATTGCAATCCTCCTGTCTCAACTTCCAAAGTCACTGGGATTACCGGCATGTGCCAGGGTACCCAGATAGAATGCTAGTTACAAATGCTTTTGTAGTCTAAGACTCACAGATTATTAAGCTGATTCTGTGGCAGAATTGCCTACCAATTATAAGCTTTTTATAAGGAATCTAATTTAGTTTCCTTTTCATTTAATACCCTATTTAATACCAGGCAGGTTCATTGCTGTGTAATTTCTTTAGTATACACATAAGCACTAAATGTTGATCAACTGAATTAATGGGAGGAATGAAAAAACAAAACAAAACAAAATCCCGAAAACATAGTCTGTGTCTTTGGTAATAGTAACAACTACTTTTTGGGAGCATTTCCTTGTTTCAGGCCCTGTTTTAAGTGTGACTTTATTATATTTTATTCTCCCAATAGTCCTATTGGAACTCAAAGCTTATGATGTTTTTCCCATGTCACAGACCAGGAATTGAAGATCGTAGATCTTAAGAATTTGGGACTCAAATCTAGGTCTTTGTGATTCTAATGCCTGAATAATAACTACTGCATTAAACTGTTTTTGAGGGAACCATAGCTCAGTTAGGAATATATGAAATCAAATACTGAAACTATTTTTTCCTATTCTGCACAAGCCCTGTCCATTTAAATATTTGTGGATTATTCAGACAGGATAGAGAATTATTATTTTTCTTTTTTCCACATATTATTTTTCTTTTTTCCACAAATACTTTCTAAGGAAGATAAAGAAAACCAACATGGTTAGGGAATAGAGCATGGTAGACTTAAGTATAAATTCCAGCCCTGCCATGTTTTAGCTAAAATGACCATGAGTATTTTAGTGGACATTCAATAAAGTTACTGAATTTTTGACAAGTAGAACAATGAAAGGAGCAATTACCATTTTTTTCAGGGATAAGTATTTAATAAAATGCTAAGCGTTTTAATGCATTATCTCATTTAATTCCCCCAACAACACTATAAGAAATAGTATACCATGAATGAGTAAAATGAAGCTTAAAGAGGCTAAATTACTTACCTAGAGTTATACAGCTAACTAAGTGATGGAATCAGAATTGAAGCCCAGGTTGGCCTGCCTCAAAAAGCTCATGTGTTTCCACTATATTATATCATCTTTCACAGTGTTGTACAGTTCCATGATCTTTAAGATGAGAGCAATATTACCCATTAGACAGTTGTTTTGAGGATTAAAATTGCTCTCCAACAACGTGGTAGATTACATGTATATACCAGCCTTCCCACTGAAAACTATTAAACAGGAGGAATGATAGTCAAAGACTGAGTGTGAAGACAGGAACTTAGGGAAGGAATGGGAGCACCAGGGTGACTTTTATCTCAAGGATGCTTGCCAAATTGGTAACAGTGAATATTGATTTTGGTGATTTCATTAGCCTTGGTGAGGAAAACAAAGTTGCCCAAATTGGGTATGTAGAGGCTCCCATAAAGCTGGAGCCCCCTGGCTCATAACTCAGCTGTAGTTCATATACCTACAGTATACTTCAAATATAGTATAGATAGATTGAAAGTATCTTCCTACTCAGTGCTTAACCTATGCATTCTTCCTCTTAATTTTTTTTTTGTAGTTGGACAGAATGCCTTTTTTGTTGTTGTTGTCTATTTTTATGTGGTGCTAAGTAATGAATCTGGTGCCTCACATGTGCTAGGTAAGTACTCCTGTTTAATATTTTTCCATGGGAAGGATGGTGTGTAGATTATTCTACCATGTTGCTGGAAAGCCAGTTTAATTCTCAGCACAACTCTGTAATGAGTATTATTGCTCTCATCTTATAAAGCATGAAGCTGAAAAAAAAAAATAAATAAAGCATGAAGCTGTATGGCACTGAAAAGTCAGTGGGGAAAGATATACATGCCAACATTAATCCAAAAGAAGTTGGAATGGAAAAAAAAAGAAAGAAAGAAAGAAAGCAGAAATGGTTGTGTTAATATCAGATAAAGTAGACTTCAGAGCAAAGAAAATTACCAGAATGGTAAGAAATAATACCTGACAATAAAAGATTAGTCCACCAAGAAAATAGCAACCCTTAATGCACAAGCACCAAAAAACAGAAAAACATGTTTTTAAAAAACATACATGTAAACATATTTACCATATGACCCAGCAGTTTAATTCCTAGGCATTTATTCAAGAGAAATATAAACAAATGTCCAGGGCTGGGGTTGTGGCTCAAGTGGTAGAGCGCTCGCCTATCACACTTGAGGTACTGGGTTCAATCCTCAGCACCACATAAAAATAAAAAATAAAGATATTGTGTCCACCTAAAACTAAAAAATAAATATTTAGTAAATAAATAAATGTCCACAACAAAAATATATTCAGATGGGCGTGGTGGCACATGCCTGTAATACCAATGGCTCTGGAGGCTGAGGCAGGAGGATTGCAAATTCAAAGCCAGCCTCAGCAAAAGCCAGGTGTTAAGCAACTCTGAGACCGTCTATAAATAAAATACAAAAAAGGACTGGGGATGTGGCTCAGTGGCTGAGTGTCCCTGAGTTCAATCCCTGGAGATAGATATATATATATATGTATGTATGTGTGTGTATGTATGTGTGTATATGTGTATATGTGTGTGTGTGTATATATATATATATATATATAT